GCTAATCCGCAACCTGGGGACGCACCCGGTCGCGTACAGCTCCGCTACGGTAGTCTCAGTTATAACTTCCAAAGAACCGTGCTAAGGCACAGCGCCACTTCATCGGTCATCTGATCTACCATGAACTTCTATCTCTCTCCCCGTAGTTATCTTCCACAGTTAGACAGCCTTTCTCCATCCTCAGCAGGTCGCATTTATACACGGTTTTAAACAACACTTGACGTTTAACTAGCAACTCTCCAGCATCGACCCAGCCGTTCTTCTGAATTTGCCTCGTCTATGTGAGCCTGCTCACATTCTAAGTATGACTGTCGGTCGCCACTTCATTGAAGGTAGTTAGGGGACATATTTTGTCCTCAACACTATACAGTGATCTTTCCAGGTAATGGATAATCCGGCCCTAATGCTTGTGAACAGCACAGTTTGATGAATAACTCTCATCTCAGCACGTCATTCGAACATCATGTTTAAGTAGCTCCACATAGCTCCCGACTCGATTGTATACTCTCAGCTGAGCAGTGAAGCATCAAGTTAGACAGCATTTAACGAAAATGATTCATGAACAAGTGATTGCTCGCGCCCTTCTCATGAACTGATCACGTCGACCGCCTCACTTGTGGGAAGAACGTTTTCATTGCTATTTCTTCCTGGAATATCCTTTTTTTACACCATCTACTGCTATTTATCAATTTTGTCGTCCTATTCTTTGAATTTGTTTATATGAATTATTTTATAGTCATCACTGATATCCCACTCTGTCGCTATTATTGAAATCGTTCCGCAACACTGCGCGGATGTATACATCAAGTCCGAAACGCCATCAAAAGAATTTCTTAAAAAAGACATTTTGGTAAAACTAAAAAACACCGTATTAGTTAGCAAGTTGGCCTCACACGCTTTTCCATACATAGAGTTCAAACTCGCTAGATCTCTCCAGCTATGTGCGCTTTCTCCTAGGTAAGACGGTTGACCTCAGTGCCACTATACAGCGTTAGGAAAGTGCAAATTTAGCTACTGTAGTGCTACAGGAATTTGGTTACATTCTGATGTGGAATTTAAGATTATTCAACATCGATCAACCGAATCGAAGGCACCTTTGATGTCGAGGAACACGACTACAGTGGCCGCCAATATGTGTGACGGTGCTCCAACAACTGACGCAAGATGAAGATGTGGTCGGTGCAGCCACGACCCCGACGAAACCTGGCTTGCTCCTCACGAATCTGGCTTTCACGAGTGCCAGTCAGTCTGTGAAGGATTACAGAGGCAAGCAATTTGGAGGCGATGAGGATCAGACTGATTCCTCTAGGGTTGCCATATTCCGAGCGCGATCTTCCTTTAAAGCTCGGAACTATGACGGAGCGGCTCCAGTCGGTTGGGACAGCTTCCTGCCCCTACGGTTTCACTAGTAATTCGTGTAAATCATCAATGAAAACAGGGCCCTTGAATTTGATAAAGGCAGGATGAAGATCATCTGGTCCCGCGGCTTTATTTAACTTCAACAGTCCGATCTCCCTTTTGACTTCTGAGCGAGAGGGCGGATCCAAAGGGACAGCCCACGGAGCAGGGCGATCAATGGCCGGCGAAGAATCGAACAATTCTGGTCGATTAAATTGCTTTTCAAAATGCTCACCCCAACGCTCCAAACGTTTTGACAAATTGTGAATAGGCTGTCTACTCTCGCTACGTATAGTTTCACTAACACCAGGTCTCCTGCTGCCCGTTTCCCGTATCAGCCGGAATAACTTTCGATGGTTACCAAGGGCAGCGGTCACTTCCATCTCTGTTGCACGAAGAGACCACCAAGATTCACAGTCTCTCTTCAGGCTATCACGGAGTTTTGCCCGGAGATCTTTGCGAGTTTCATTGTGTGCACTTCCAGCCGGAATATGCCGGCGAGCATCGATAAGTTCCAGAGACTGTGAAGAGACCCAATGTGCATGTTGGCTATTAGACATATCACGTGAGGATTTGCCTGCTGCTAGTAAGGCCTGGTGAATATGAGACCAGTGAGCTTCAATTGCATTCGGTGAGCGTTTATCCAACTCGCATGACAACGTACTTTGATACGCATTCAGAACAGCTGGCTTCGCCAGTCTGCCGGTATCTTTGCGCTCACAACATCGTCGTGCGCGTCCGCCAAAGCGCATCCGCAGGTCAGCACATACAAGTGCATGATCGGTGTCAACACGTGTGCCCCAAATCGCGCGACAGTTTTGAACGCAGCCTCTCCAGCGGTAACTAATTGCGATGTGGTCGATTTGTGTCCAAGACTGGTTCGAGGCTGGTGGGCACCAACTCACCCTCCGGTAGGTGCTGTGTCCCAAATTAGTGCTCGCAAGAAATAAGCGGGCATCTTTACACCAATGAAGTAACTATTCCCCGTTATCATTATGGGAGCCTACACCGTGCTGACCGCCCAGATGCATTTCATGAGTGTGATGATTATAACATTTCAAAAACCTGACCGCGTGGCAGCGGGTTTGGCTTTGGGCTACAAGGAGTCCGTTTTAAGGAATAAGGTGCCATCCTCATTCCAACCCCCAACTTGGAGGACCAGGAGGTTGAGTTTGTCTGGCCTCTAACCGTTGACCAATCTGGTATGAGTGGCTCTGAAAGTGTAAAAAAGCACCACTCAGCATAGCTCAGTGAATCACTGAGGCACACAAGCGATCGCACCACGGTAAGGTCCAGCCTCATTACCACCGAGTTCCCTAAATTCGCCTCGCTGTCTTGTGGGTAGACGATTTAGTCAAAGACCCTGGGTGGTGTTCCCTTAGCCAACTCCTTACTTCGACTTGGGCAGCCGGGTAGTAGCACGCCAACCGACAGAATCGTTCATTTTCTATGCCGCACTCAACCACGTCTGCTTCCGCTACTAATACACCTTTACACGATACCTGTCTATTTGTTGCCAACCACTGGTATCCGTTACCAGCGGATTCCTGTTTCCATGATTGTTCTCCCCATGGTTTCATCGACGACCTCAGAGCTCATCCAGTGGCCCGCGTGCGCCCAACTGCGATGATGCATGATGTATGCCACAGCAACCTCAGCATGAGGCATCATATATGGTTGGCAACATCCGTGTCCTGATTTGCCTGTCACTATGGCCTCCATAGGACAGCCAGAAGTCACTTGCGCCTACAGAGGAATCATGGGTGGTTTGCGCTGCACCACCCACAGCTCCCTCCGCACACCTCATATCCGGTGGGAACCCTAGGGGATAAGATCGGGTGGCACGTGGATGGAAGCCACATTCCATCATCGGAACCGGCCCACGCTGCTTCAACATGCAAGTTGCAGCAGTGCTGTATGTTTAACTGGGGAATCGTGCGTATCAGACGTTCATAAGGCGGTGGCTGTGTCGTAGTCCGCTCCACATTGGATGGAATCACTCTTTGAGCCTAGCACTGTCACGAGGACGATGCACCCTGCCCTCTAACGGCGATTCACATTCTTCTAGGGCCACTACACGTGGTCGTGGGTGTTAGACTGGTAGACACCTTGTCAACATTCACATTAAACGCATCCACATCCGGGATAACAAAGGATCAACACAGTATTTAAAGGAAATGAACACGCAAAATTGGTGCAAAATATGCAGTAGATTAACAGAACAGCAAATCAAATAAAGTTAAGAAGACCTCTATTTTAAGTGTAATTCGGTGTAGGCCAGCTGCAGTGAAGCAGCATGATGTGTGCAACACCAACCTCAGCATGAGTTCCGTTCACTTTATGTCGGAGATAGCTACTTCTTAACATCTGCACATCGCCATACCGTTAGCACAAATAACCGATTCCACATGCGCTGCTACTACCCATGCGGTAGCACTGTTCGATATTTGTGCATGACCGGTCGACAGACTCCTCTATGTCATTGTATGCGGTGGCTAGCATATTTAAGTGTGAACGGTTGGTGCTAAAAGACACGAGTGTGTCAATGACCTTTGAGCTCAAAAACTCTTAACCACAATTCGCCAAACAAATGATATGGCTAGGCAAAAAGATGGTAAACATACGCAGAGGATGGACATATCCATTTTGTCTGTGTTTGGGACAACATGCTGGCACACCGTTCATGCCCCGCCACTGTAATCGACCTCGAGAAAGAGTTTAACGAAGCTTGTAAAATAAGCAAGGCATCTAGTATTTCACAAAGTCGAGTTCTAATTTTTAGTGCATTTTTGCATTTACATGTGTGCATTAGAATGTGCTTTTCTCCTGATCGGCGAAACAACTTCTTAGACACCCGCCTCATTTCCACCTTGTGGAATGCTAAGGTTCCGTCTAATCGCAACATCAGTAATACCTTGCTCATCGATTCCTTCCTTTTAAATAAAAATAAAATAATATCTTCTCGATGTTACACAAGGCACACCAAAGAAGGTATGACCAGTTTTGTACAAGCAGGTATGCGACAATGTCAGTTTGTTTACCTATTAGTCTTGACAAAGTAAGCGAGTTGATTCATGAGATCCAAGAAATGGGAGGTGATTGTGATAAATGATTCCATGTTGAAATAGCAAGTTGTTTTGTGAGTGTGAAGGTATCGTTAAGCACGAATGCTAACAGAAATTTATCACATGTAAATGTTGAATCAGTGACTCGACTTGAGTTTCGGTCAGTTGGATTGTTTTGACCTCTAACCAATGGTTTGCTCCGTCATCCGCAGTCACATGTTGTCCATTTTTCGCCCCTCGTCATATAATATGGCCTCAGAGCTTCTTGGGTCGCGTTGTATCCCTATCCGTATCCAGTTGAGGGAATCCGGAGTTTCACGAGAGTGGGGATTGGAATCGCTGATTAAGGACCATCCGCCGTCATTGCAACGTTCCTCAGGTGCCAGCCAACATGTCTGAAAAACTCGGAAAAAGGACAGTGCGGATTCCACTTATTTGTTCCGATACACTGAAACCGAATTATCTTCTTGGGGTCGGTTTTTATCCCTGTAATTCATCTTTCTTGCCATTCTTTACTTTTTTCTTTTGCTTTTGTAGAGTGGGTCATACTGCAACTTTCTAGAGGAAAGTACGGTTGGTGTCAGCTTCGCTGCAACTCCCTTCGATGGATTCTCCAATTTTCACAACTCAACTTCCATTGCGGGTGCAGCCATCAGTAATCACTTGGTAAGTAACTCACCCTCCGCAACGTTTGACACCACACCGTCCCGTGGTCCCTTGACCTACTCAACAGACTCTATTCGATCTCAAATTACTCTGCTTAACCACCATTCACAGCCTGTGACCGGTCCCTCCTCATCGGACTCGCATGATCCGAACGCCAATCGAACTAACCTTGACATCACTCATCCGCGCACCTTCATGGATGGACCTTCGCCATCAATACCCAGCTCTTTTCAGGGTAAGAGTTTGCGCACTGCTCAGTTTTTTCCTCAGTTTCATCCCATCACCGTCTGCCGTCGTTGCTGCTTTGGTGGAATTTCGGTGCCTTTTTTCCTCCACCTGGTGTCCGCCATGCATTTGAACGTTTTCTCTCTTCCCGCCCTTGGCACTCATATCCTTATCTTAGCGTGCTACCCTACATGGCACCAATCATTGCCCTTATCATGGCTTGTAATACTAGTCCTACGACCCTTGTTCTCCTCTGAAACCTTTTATCACGTTAAGAACAGATTTCAAGCTTAGTCTCTCACTCACTAGAATGCGCCAAGTGGTTCGCACTTACTGGCACTCAAAAGTCCATAAGTGAGTCGATTGAGTCAGATCTGTTGTCTGTTCCAAGGTTCGATTCACTGACATCCAAGCACGATCAAATTTTTACTGGTGCTTATTCCTATATTTCTAGTGAATTCCTCATAGTTGAACTCTATCACACGGCCGTTGCCGTCCAGAAAGTTGTCAACATGCTGCACCGTCGTCAGCGTACACCACCCCAGATCATTCTGGACTGCAACTTCTGATCACTGAAATTTCGACTAGCGCCTTGCACCATTGTACTAGATGTGTTCAGGAAGAAAGCAAACTTCAAATATCGCGGAAACCGGAAGTGGGAACGCGCTGCGGCTACTGTGCGCATGTGGAGGCTTGCTTAGACAACAAACTGCCATTTGCCGCATTTCGCTCTGACTGTTGGTTAGGGAGCTACAGCCGCTGAAGTGAGCACGTGCACAAGCTGTTCGTCGGATTAGTGCCAAAGAGAATGAAAGTGCTTGAAGAACAACGCGCGTGTGAGCGAACTTGTGCTACAAAATGGGCAAAACTTTTACAGACATTTCAAATGCTTAGCCAACTATACGGGGAAGATTGTATGAGCCGCACGCAGTGCTTAAGTGGTTTAAGTGTTTTGAACACATCAGAATATCGGTCGGTGACGATCCCAAGCCTGGACTACCATATCAACAGACAACGACCATGTCGAAGGAGTTCCTGTTGTGATCCGTGGAAATCGTCATTTAACTGCTCGAGAAGTTGCTGACGAAGTGGGCATCAGCGTTGGATCATGCCATCAAATTCTAGCGCGTTTATGGGATGGTGTGCGTAGGAAGAGGCCTCAATTGTGAGAAAAGCCAGACTTCGATGTTGTGTCATGACTGCGCCGGCTCACGCCTCGCTCCTTGTTCGCAGCTATCTAGCCAAACATCACACTTCCGTTGTTTCCTATCCACCGTATTCTCCGAACGTAGCCACTGCAGACTTTTTCCTGTTTCCCAAACTTAAAACCACGTTGGAAGGACGTCATTTCCAAACCATAGGGAAGTTTCGGGACAATGCAGCAAAACAGCTGCGCGCCGTCCTAGAAATTGCGTTCCAGGATGCTTTACAAAAATGGAGGCACCGCTGTGAACGGTGTACTGTCAGTAGATGGGACTGCTTTGAGGAGGAAAGTGCATAAATTCTTGTGCAATGAGAAATAAAATTCTTATAGCAAAAGTTCGGTTGCTTTTTGAACACACCTCGTATGCAGAGTGACAGTGGGTGGTCTACCTGATTGTTATCACTTGTGCTCTAAATCTCCTCATCTTTCACTTTCACACATCTTATTGCCATCCGTGTGCTGTTGTTAGGCTCAGAAACACAGTCTCGTTGCGTCACCAACCACCTTAACCCATACTCTGCTGAAGTTTTAATTTTTCTTCATTTTTATACGTTATAAAAAATGAGGAAAATACTCACCTGGGATTGGATTTTGAAAATTAAGATTAATTTAGGAAATATGATAATTTTGCTCTGTCCTTTTTTAAGGATGCCAGCAACAAATTATACCGTGACATGGAAATTCAGAAAATATGAAACCACATTTTCTAAGCAAATAACAATTGTTCTCAGCTTTGGAGTCACTGTTCAATATTTCTTTTAAATTGCTAATATAACAGGCAGTTATTGATTATAAAAGTGCACCTAGGTCACATCTACACAAACTACGTGTTCCATTGTTTATGCATGGTACGTCGCACAACAGGTTTTGTGTAGTGGCGCATCACACATTGAGCAGAGTAATTTAGGCTTCTTCTTTGTTTTGGCATTGCTTCTGAGTAGTGTCTATAGCAAGACTTCCTGCTTCTGTCTTCAACTTTTGTCGTTTGCTGATGGGAGTAAGAAAATTTTGTGGAGTAGATATATCTGCAAGTATGACAGCCCTTCTAAAGGAAAGTATGTCATCCTGCTCTTGCTCATGTGCAGGTGTTTTTCTGCACAAAAAGCACATAGCATTCACTGCAACATCAGGGCGAAAAGCGAATAGCGGCCATCACTACATTTTGTTGCGAAAATTCCTCCTCTGTTGACCGACATTTTGGTCCAATCGATCCACTCTAAGTGTTATACTTGCCAAGGATGCCAGGTTGTTGACTAAATGTGTTTTTTTGCCCTTCACCGACTATCTCTTTGCTTTTGCCAGAGGATATGCACCGACACATTTGCTGGCAAGTCACAAAGGAGCTATCACTCAAAGACTAACCGAACACATAATCTCTCCTGTTGACCCAGTTGTCATAAGTACCCTTGTTTCGTTTTCCCAGGGCGTTCGTCTTGCTGGGTCACTTGTCTGCTCTATTTGCTAGAACTGTTCCCCATGCTCTGTCCTCTTTGTTGGTTAAAGCTTACTTAAGCAGCGAGTCTGTAAAAAAAATTGTCAGAAAATGTGTGATAATGCTGCCCCTTCAGGAGTATGTCCGCTAGGCCCATAGCAATGCCATATCCCAAACCTAGTGCCATGTCATATTTAGCCTGAGCTCCTTGGTGTGTAGCCCCCCGAGAATCGAGAAGACAGTCTGGGCGGCGATCACACATCTGTTATGAAAGAACACATAGGCATTTTATACTGGACATTACTATTCATTGGTACTCATTTTAAATGGTCCCTTCTTTCCGACCACTTGCTTGAATTCTTTGGCCGGCGTCCATCCTTTGTCCTTGCTTAGCCGGAATAACGATACGCTTTGTTCACACTCGAAACTAACCTCCGTCGCTGCATTTGGTGTTTGCGCCGATTAATTATGCATCCGTCTCCTTTGTCTGTTTCGACTGCTCGGCTTACCACCTCTCATCATCCGATGGGCACTGAACCCCTAAGCTGTCTGACCTGAACCAGGACAAAGACCATGTCTGACTCACCCCTTGCGCCCCCCGATTATGCTTTCTTCACTCGTTTAGGGTAGACGTGATGCTTTGTGATCCTGATGCTAATCGGCTTCCCCGACCACTGGCCATCTACCATGTCACACTTGGTAGCGATTCAAATATGCAGCATAATCTAGAGGTGTTGCAACACCTGAATCCAATACTGTTTCCTGTGATGCATTGCTTCAGGGCATGATTGCCATACTCTGTATGGTATCATGCTTGCATCCACGCTCAGATTTCCTTTCATACGGTGGAATTTCATAGATCTTCCGTTGTGAAGGTTATTAGGTGGTCGAACTTGTGCACATTTTTCATCTGCTTGTAGATCGTTCCTGTTTGCCAGATGGAGATACTTCATGATTGTGTCCAGTCTGTTCCGATTCGTTGTTTGTGCAATGGCTGCACTGTGTGGACATCCTGTTCCGGATCCCATTACCTATACCTTCGGTGTAATGGTTTATAGCCAGTAACAAATAAGATAGCGAGAAAAGCATGCATTTCAGCCGCGGTTACACTGCATTAGAGATCACTTTGTTAAACGGGCATACTCAGTTGTCTCCCTTATCATGCGCTCCATAACACAGTTATTGAAGTAGCGTTTAAACTATTTGCACAATACAAAATCCTTTAAGCAATCAGGTGCACATTCCGAGTCTGGTATCCTTTTGAGCTTTTATTAAAGAAGCATGCATTGGAGCAGCGGCTACCTCTTGTAACCTTTTATTGCCACTTTTTGGGTTCCCCTTCGGATGGTTCGCCTTCCATGTTGACTGTAATTACTGATCCATGAGGCAGTGCTAAGCGAGCCTCAGCGTCACCGTGTGACTACCTCGCTAACAGATCATCAAGAAAACCATAAATCACTTCATTAGTATCTTCACAGTTTTGTCCATCACCCGGAGCCGCAATACGCATCTCACCTTCGTTAGGCTTGGATAAAAAGTTAACTAATTCAAATATGCTTTACATACACTTTTAGCTGAGAAAATGACATTAAAAAAGGAAGCACGTTATTATTATTCAAAATGTTTTAAGCTACAATGCTATAACCGGAATATTTATCAAATATGAGCATATTTTTGGTCATGTTACCAGTGATTTGGTTATCCCCAACCTACATGTCACGGTATCATTTGTTGCTGGCGTCCTTTAAAATGATCAGATGGTTGTAGCTCATGGTTATAACAACTATCACACAAATTAAATGCTTATATATAACTATGTGCTCTAGACTTAAAACACAAATGTAGCAAAAATTTGGCAGTTCCATGAATAAATAAATGACGTACACTCCACGTTTGGGATTTTCTATTTTATTCGGCACGAAAGAACATCTTCCAAATCTATATTTGGACTGGCTAAAATGGTTTCGGTTAATGTATTTATCAAAATTGCAACCAAAGAAATCATTAATGATATAATTATTCACTGCTTTAATTCACCTTTTAGTGTGTCTTTAAAAGAACCCCTGTAGGAAATGGGTTAAGACGTGATATGTTTCTCTGTTAATTGCTGATTTTAAGTAGTGAAAAAATTTTGGGGTTTCAATCTCTTTTGTCACCGCTTATTCAAACATCACGCGTATGGCCACTTTTGTCGTTGCTGCTTTGATTATTAACTGCGGTATTTTAGGCTTTCTGGCATTGATGTTCATACTGGCGAATTTCCGCTTCTCATTTATTTGTCGGGACCAACCTGTTGCTTATACAACCCACTTTGTTTGTCGTGCTCAGTGAAGCGGAGTTGCAAGGGTTATAGTTCGTCGGGCTTCAGGTGAAACGGCGTTATCAGGTGCTTCGGTCGACATTTGTGCTCCAATTTCAGAGAAGCACGTCCCCATGTTATCGTCACTTCGTTACCACCATCCTTTCACGACTTCGAATGCATGTGAATTCTGGTGTAGCACACGCAGTGCCTCACTGGGCGTGTCGCTATCCTATGGCACACGGTGATATTATTATCTGGATGATCACACTGCTTTTCGAGTGGGATGTTAAGCATTTCTACTGCAGTTCGCCCGCATTTTTCAGCTGTGTGCAGTGATTGCGAAGGCTTTTTGCAGTATTTTTCATCTACTTGTTGGCCTGCATTTGGCCGGTTTCAACCCGTCTAACATGCTGACATACAGTAGGTCGACTATACTAGTACTATCACGCCTGACCTCCTTAACGCAAAAAACAGCAGGAGCGATTTAACGCGCTTTGTGCATGACGCTCATTCAGCATACTTGGTGACTGCTGCGATTCCGCTATGCTTTCGTACTTTGTTGGTTACGATTCCATATTGTGTTGGGCTTCAGAACCGGCATCATCATGTTTGATTAACACCTCATCATTTATGCATCTGCAGCAAAGAAGCTTGTAACCAAACTTAGAATCAGGAATTTGAATGACTCGAGTCAAAATGTGCGCACTTTAATGATAGCATTCGTTCAGAATTACATGCTCGATGTACAAGGGCGTCTGCTGGACCCCTTTTGTCCTCCGCCCCTCACTTCTCTATCCATCGTGCCCTCTCAATCTGTTGTGGTTCATAAGGTTTGCCGACCCCTAGCCTAGAGGTAACGCGCTTGCCTCGTAATCTCGCGGCGCGTGTTCGAGCCTGCGTAGAGGTAGGGCGACCCTTGCAGTTTCCTCAGTACACGTGCGATCAGCGGTGATTGCGCGGCAGCGGGGCATCGGTACCACGTACTAACGTACTGCTGATGCCTGCCATCAGGTTCGCACATATCGCGAGACCCACGAAGTTCGCGCAACTATCGCATGCTCTTCCACGTGTTATCTGGCTCTGCGCGTGCTCATCTGTATTGAGTTCTATTTAGAACGCCTCACACTTCTTTGTTCCGCTCATGTTGATATCTCCTTCGGTAAGTCGTCGAAGAATGATGCTCGTGAGAAGTTTGGAGGAAATGGAAATATGGCTATTGTCTCGATGCTTTTCATACAAAGTACACTAACTCCTCTTGAAGATGGGCACGACAGTAGACAGTCGCCAGTCTGAAGGCACTTTTTCAGTTTTCCAAATCGTATTAGATAGAGTAGCGAGTCCAGTCAACCAAGAGTCACCACCATCTCTCAGCATGAATATGAGGAAGTTTGTCGGGTCCCGGAGCCTTGTTTCGTCTCAACGCGGAAAGCTCATGTCACATATGTTCTAAAGTACTAGGTGTGACATCAACTTCCAACTTAGACTTGGGTGATTCGGCAAGCGGCAGTGTTACAGCAGTCCTGTTGAACTGCTTTTAAAATGTTCCACCTAACGGGCTGGTCAATGAAGCTGTGAATGGATCAACTGTCCGTCTTTCTCAATTATTGTCTCGCTAAGTGGTGGTTTTCTCTTTACCTGTGTTCCGGATGAGCTGGTATAGCACTCGGCTATTTCCAATGGCACTGGCTTTTTCCATCTCACAGACCTTTGCGACCCACTAACGTTCCGATTCAACCATAAGACTCCTTGTCAGATTTCGTATCAGGGAGTTACGGACACGCTGAACCTCAATTCCCATCGGAAGCTGTTTCCTTACTTCGATCAAACTGGTCGATGCTTCAGAGATCCACTCACCGTTACGACATCTCAAGTCGAGTGCACAGCAACCGTCACAGATATTCTTCGTGGTACACTTGAGAAGATCCCAGTCAGCGTTCGGATCACCAATCTCATTCATCACACATTCGGCAGGCCAGTTCGTTATGATCTTGTCGAACCGCAGACATCGAGTTTAAGTTACAGGTAAGAAGATTAGGAGATAGGCGCTTCTTTGAAGTAGCTAGAGTGTGCGCCAAGCGTGTGCGCACTATAGCTTGGTCGGAATTCAAGCATGTGTTTTAAATTGTCTGACAGTCTTGGACTGATGTGCGCCACCTGTTGCTGATGGCAATATGATCAATTTGAAGTTTGCCAAATGGGTCGCCTTCCTGTATTTTTCGGTGACCGGTTACCTCAATCTATATTGTTTTTCTGTTTCTACACTTGATTCGGTGCGCCCCACGGTCAACAGGCGGCTAGGCGCATGAAGAAATGGACCGTTCTGCTGGTTAAGGTTTTGGGATCGTCCGCCTCACTAATCGATTCCCTCTCGACAACTCGGTCACCAACTCGCCAACGCTTTTGCATCCAGCTTCATGGTCGGTGTTTATCTTTTCATTCTGTTGCCTTTTGTCCATACGTTCCTTTGTGATTCCTCCCACTTATTATTCTTCATCATTTTTCATAACGTGTCTAGTCATGGCAACTGGCCACACCGCGTTTCCGTGCTCTGGTTGTGGCCGAGCAACGGAACTAGACCGTATACGTCACCATCATCGCTGCTGTTAGACAGGTTTAATTCAACAATCGGTTTTCACTATCTCCTATGGTGTAGTGGGTTATCCACGGCTCATTGTATTGCGTGTTTATTGCTTTTGCTGTCATTCTTTGAGATTATCTGTTTCAGAAGCTTTACTCCCTTTGTGGACTTTGATACTCGGTCATGAGAGCGTTATTCTTACTCTTTATAAAGTAAACATTTTTTCGGCGTTGTCTGTCCCAACACTGACTCAACATTTAAACATTTTTCTTCAGGTGTACGCAATTCGCGTTTATTGCTAGCCTCTAATGATGATCCAGACACCCTACAGTTGGGTCTGAGCTTTCAGCTACCAGAACGAATGGCCCCGCATGCCTCCCAAGAGACTTTGAGTGCCACCGCGTCACTAATTTCAGTCTTCCACGGACCTCCATCAACCCCTAACAGCCTTCAGCAGACTTTTCCAGAGCTCGCCTAAGTTTTCTTTCTATCCTGGTGATGAACCGAACCCCTGCCACACTGCGCTCCACTGGGACCGTGGTTTCTCCAAGCGCCAGCAGCCTGGTCATTTAACTTCGGGGGATTCATGGTTCAGTTTCCATCGTATTATTCAGCGAGCCGTTCGCTCCTTGGATGTCAAACTGATTGTCGCACAAAAACCAGTTGACTACGGATATGTGTGCAAAGTTCATCACGTTTTGTGTTCCTCTTTTAATCGGAGCCTTAGATTGATTGGCCTTCTCTCTGCCATGCATCAGGCTCCCTGCCACTTGCTAATTCCTTCCATTTGTGGCCCATGTTTTATCCAACTAAATACTTGTACTGATTTTGATAGAACCCACTTCATACGTTTGGCTCATTTGGCCTTTGCATTCCACATACTTTGATGTGTGCTCGTCCTGTCATGGGCTTGCGTTGCCCGCCTGCCGCTTCCAGATCCCTCCCGTCATTTATTATATCATGTCCCCTACAATTCCCCATAGGCATATATCACCCATTGTAAATTATCACCTTTATGAATGAATGACCTCCGTTTGTTACCTTGAAACCAATCCCGTTCGCGTACCGTTGCTCCTTTTTCACTTTAATTTGCCTCAAAATTTCCAGAGCCGTCTAGTCTGTTGTTCTGGGATGGGTGATACCTGCGAAGCAACTTCGTGATATTTAGTCTTGCGTAAACCGGCGCTGTTGTAGAATCGCTCCAAAGACAGAACAACTTCCGGGCTGTGTTCAGATTCCGTTTGTTGCAAACTAATCGATACGATACGATACTTTTCGAATGATGGGATTCGCGACTGCCTTTTCTTCGCATGGGATACCTTAAGCAGGCATCACAGCATATTGGTTGCTCTGTTTTATTGACCGCACAACTCTATCTAATAAAGTATCTAGTGCGAATCCTACCCAGAAATCAGCAATTTTTCTCTCAAGAACTGCCCACCGTCTGATCTCCTTCAGTTTACTCCAAGGACATGTAGCCGCATTCGAAGTACGTATGATGTGTTACGCCAGTGTACAGCTGACAAGCGTTCCTATCTGTTAGATCGTAGACTGGCACCAGCGTCGTATCATCAGGATTGTCGCATTCATGCCTGTATACTACCTGATTTACTCGGAGGGCGTGCTTGTGTGCCCCGAGTTTTGGTTTATCTGTCCGGTTCTGCTCTACTTTTACAATTGGTGTGCCGAGCTTAGCCTCAGACTAGTTCACTATTTTTGTGATGCACTATCATGAAAATCTGTGCGACCTCGGTGTCATCGTGTCATATCTACTTTACCAGTGTTTATGTTCACCCGAGCTTTGACCGGTGCAGCTATCGAACACCAGCACTCAGAGCTAGCCTGTTCGGTGGTTTTGCGGACGATGAGTTCGTCATCATGCTCCAAGTGCCTTCACCGAGTCAAATCAGATCTACACTTTCGCCTTTGCACAATCTGGTATGAAAGTCATGGGGTCGGAACCCTGCAGAGGATCAAGGGCCGCGCACCACTGACTAGACCCAGTAGGTCGAAACAGCTGTCTAGTGCCTTTCTAGACGTGTGGGAACTTGCGTGACTGAGAGCGGACTGCAACGAACTACATGTAACAACCTAGTATGGGTCACTACGGCGTGCTTAGATGTGGCACTGCATTGTTCTCGTAGCTGTGGATCGCGTTCCCTCTCCTCATGTTCATTCATTTTAACTTGTTCGTCTGTGCAGTTGTCACTTCAGTATTCCCATGTCAACTCTGCTCGTTGAGACCCACAATGGAAATCTTCAAGCAGGGTACTCCCAGTATTATTCTGTTCGACTTGTAAAGTTGCAGTGAAAGAACAAGCGTTAGTAGATACGTGCACTTCACCTTATGCTGTCATCACCGTTGCAATTGCACGGTGAACTCTATGTGTGTTTTACATCGGGCGGCCGGTAACGATGGTCTTAGGAACGCGGCAGCCAAGAATTAATGAACGATTAACGTGCGTAGATATAATTGTTTGAGCCAAATTGGCTTTGGAATGCCACTGCAGCGAGATAATTGCTTCTGTGACCTGTCAAGCAGCTAGAAATGCTTGCACAGTAGGACTGGAAAAATCACAGGCGAGCAATATGTCCAGTGTGATAAAATGCACGCAGTTGATGTACTTTGGAATCAGATTGTATGATACGCAAGATGATCACAATCGAGCGACGTAAAACGAAGTCGCCTAACTCTGGTTTATATTTGATTCACGTGGAGTGACCACAATAAATCGTGGTTCTGTGTGCTGCAAAGATACATTACTGACGTACAGAAACTCAAGCTGTCCCCATTAATAGGAAGCTCGGAACTTTCCGTGACAACTTCCTGGTAACAAGCTGCCTTATGAAGTGAAAACAGCATGCCTTTACACTTGGACACATTCATTGTCAAGCAGCGGGAGTTTGACCACTGCACCAACTCGTCTAAACAACTTTACAGCTTGTCTGAAGAAGCCGAAGTTCGATTATTCACACACGTGATGACATCATCAGTACATTTTAACATAATGGTTACTTCTGGAACAGGTGTGGAGCTAAGGTAGGTAGAGAACAAGAATGGTGGCAAATTAGCTCTTTGAAGGACATCGAATGTTGTGGTAAGCGACGAGGAGCTTTCTCCACCCAACCCGTGGGATCTGAGTAAGTTTGGCGAAATAATCCTTTAGTAAGAATACTAGTGAACTTTAACTACCAGATGTCTGTACATTTTGCAACGGCAGTTTGCGGTCAACACAACCGAAAGCGTTGCTTTCGTCCAGGAATCGGCTACGTTGTGGATTTGCTCCCATTGTCTAGTGTGACGACAAGGCTGAATGCTGCTCTGTTATGTATGGATCTTGAACTTCTATACGCAAACAGAAATGGGTCATTCAAACGAGACTAGACCAGCATGATTTTCTCAGAAATTAACAAAGCCGCTGAGGTGGATGCAATAAGCCGATGTTTACCCATGCATTTCTTCGGTATTGATGGCAATCCCCCAACCGTCCGCAATTTTTCTTGCTTTACGCACATGGTGCATAACTCAGTCAGAGGCGTGTCTAAGGAATCTGCACACTGCTTGAAGACTACAGGAGACGACCTGTCGGAGTGCAGCTGGGTTAAGTTCTATGGCAGAGATGCAACGTCGGCAGGAGGTAGTGAGTCCGTAGACCACTGAGACGGTGCAGCTAGCGAGTCAGAGAATAAGTTAATGCTATGGTAGTAGACGTTTCGATTTAATTCTTCTACGTTCACGACATAATCTATACTTTGGTGAGTGACTCCACGGATCTGTTTCATCATCCGCTAAACATCAGGACGACTGTTGTTTCCCAGAATTGTCTAGACACAGATATGACTAAGGTTGTGCATTTCTTCCTTAGTACCTGCAGTAAGCGACTTCACTAAAGCATGGTCTTTGTCTTTTAAAGCTCTTTCTTGGAGTTTCAATGAAGCAACTTGAGTTGCGTTGAAGAAAAGCGATCAGCACGGATAAAAATGTTTTCTATTGGACAGCAGATAACTTGTTACTTGGTTACAGTATGTCGATACGTCTGTGTCGAAAAACAAACCGAAGTCGGTGGAAGCAACCATTTCTCTCAGTCACGCTAAGTTTGAAGGGATTGATTGTCTCCATTTTCATCTACCATCATCGCGGCGAGTAGCATTCTTGTGGTCTGTCTTAGTGTAGACAACTGCGGAACGTTTGACCATAGAATGATCTGATCTGCCAAGTGGTGCCCGTTTGTAAACCGAAAATATCTTTAATTTTTTGACGAACACTAAATCCATGGATGCTTCTAACCTGATGGGACATTTCACAATAGTCTCTAGTCCAAGAGTTGTAATGAAATGTTCTCAAGTTGATTGGAATCAATTTCACATATGCACAGGGACTAGACAATTTTCCCAATAACAACAGTCGTAACATCTGGCTGCTTCTGAGTTGGGACAACTGGGGGACATATAAATATTGAGCAGTATGCACTCAATGTTTGCCTACACTTTTAAACACAGTAATCGATAGGTTGTGACGATTAATAGCACGAGATTTCACTGCTAAGCACCAAGAAGCGCTACTAAAGGTAATGACTTCACTGCCACGATTCCGGTAGGTGCAAGGGCGGTCAGTACGAAAACGTAGAAAACGGTCAATCGCTACTACGGTGTATTCAACATCTTTATCCAGCCATGTCTCTTGCAACATAATCATTCCTATTTGTCTGTATTCAAGACAGTTACTAATGCCTTCTAGGTCCCCAATTTTCCCGGAAGCGAACAGATGTTGGCGATTAGAAAAATGGGTATGCCCATGCTTATCAAATTTTTCTTCGTCAGAGCAACTTTCCACCACGCACAATGCTTTTTTTACAGATTTATTCCGTTTTTGTGGATTATTCTATATTATTGATTAATTTACTACCATAGATTCGTCGAGGTGAACAGTCACAACTCTTCCGATTGTAAGGTATCGTTATCCGTCGCGAAAACCCACCGCTGTGCATTAAAAATCAGCTGACTGAGGCTCTAAGCCTACTTTGGTAGCGTAAGCGCTCGACAATGTACGATATCTTGTGACACTATTTGGGTCTGTCCACCAATGCCGTATGTTTTTAATCGAAAAGAATGCACGAAATGATGATGTCATCTCACAAACGCCATATTTTGATTTACCTAACTGGAATAATAAAAATAATTTCCGGTTTCAAAATGTAGGAACTCGAATTATGCAGCCCAAGATCACAACTTGTGAGAGAGATGGATGGTGCTTTACCACGGAGTGTCAATGAGGTGGGTGCAATAATGCTTCGATAACTAATGCATTTTCATTTCTCGGATGGGAATCCCAGCTTATGCAATACCACAACAAACCTTGGCTCAAATGGCATCAATAAGCTTCTCATGGGTCCGCGCTCCTTTGTCTGTGCATTTGTAACCGGCTGACGCCTGATTGGTCACCTGCACAGTCAGTGGACGTTTGCTGGCTCTATTTGCAGAGCTCGACGCGGGCGTGCACCGACCGTTTGCTGTTCGGCTGACCAGCCTGCTTCCGACGACACGCTCACTTGCCATCGGGCTGGATTGCATCTGTCTGGTACTCCGCGAAATGCCAGCTGGCATTCGATTGGCCATCTGCCTACCGGTAACGTATCGTTTCCACTCACCAGCAGTTTCAGCCTCCATCACATCCTTGGCTTCTTCGCTCTCCATATTAGCGTTGCAATGTGTCCCGTATTGCCATCCACTGCATGTACGTGTGAGGAGCAGTAGTAGGAGTCACTCGTAGCGGAAGACAGTATGGAACATATAGAATTGAAAAGGCCGAAAGAAGGAAAGCTGTGCTGATAGCTGGCCAATGGTCGTGGAAGCCACAAAGTGAGCACGTCGGGTAGACGAGTGAACAAAGCAGAATCGGGACGCAAGGGGTGAGTCAAATACGGTCTTTGTTGTGGTCAAAGGCAGTCGGGTTGGTCATAGGGGACACAGCTTAGGGGTTCAGTGCCCATCGCATGATGAGAGGTGGTAGGCCGAGCAGACGAAACAGACAAAGGAGACGGATGAATAACCAATCGGCACAAATACTCAATGAACCGACGGTGATTAGTTTCGGGTGTGAACAAAGCGCGT